TTTTCTATATCTAAATATTTTATATAAGTAGCTATTATATATAAATATATAATATTTTTTTTTAAACTGGGTGGTAAATAATACAAATAGTTTCTATATCTAACTATTTTATATAAATAGCTATATATTATATATATATATAAATAGCTATAGAAATATATAAATATTTTTGTAAAACTGGGTGGTAAATAGTACAAACATTTTATATATCTAAATATTTTATATAAATAGCTATTATATATAGAAATATATAAATATTTCTGTAAAACTGGGTGGTAAATAATACAAACATTTTATATATCTAAATATTTTATATAAATAGCTATTATATATAAATATTTTTGTAAAACTGGGTGGTAAAAATACAAATATTTTATATATATATAAGTATTCAATATAAATACCTATTTTATATAAATATAAAAAAATTTTTAAATTAAAAAAAAAAAAAAAAAAGGAGGAGGAAGAAAAAAAAAATAAGGAAAAGGAGGGGGAAAAACTTGAGTGAGTGGCTTGAGCAGAGCTGTGAGTGAGGAGATGCCAGAGCCTTTCCCTGGCCCATTCCCTGCTCCAGGCAGTTGTTTCCCCTTCCCTGGACTCTCCTGGTTGCATCAGCAGCTGGGGAAGCATCTGGGGAATGGATGAGCCACGTCACTGGCAGGACTCAGCACGTCCTGCTCTGACCTCCTGGCCTCCCCCAGCCCTGGGAGCTGCTGATCCAGAGGGAGCTGCTGATCCCAAGGGAGCTGCTGATCCCGAGGGAGCTGCTGATCCAGAGGGAGCTGCTGATCCAGAGGGAGCTGCTGATCCAGGGGCTCGTGGCCCTTTAAAGCTCCGGACATTTTTCTTTTTTGAATCCCGGAGAAGGGAGGATTCCTCAGTCCTGATGTAACCCTGAGCCAGAACCACGTGGGTCTGTGCACAGTTGACAGTTCAGGGCTGCTGGAATGGGGTTTATCCGTTTTTTCAGGAGCTCTTTGGTCGTGGCCACGGCGGATATTTTCCAGCCAGGCTTTGCTCTGGGCTCGGGGCCCTGCAGGGCTGCTCTGTGCCCTCACTTTTAGGGCTCCACGTGTGAAATCCATTCCACCCCCGTGACTCATCTGCTGTCCCAAGTCCTGCCTCAGCTGGAGGAGGAACCAGAGAAATACTGCTGTCAGCACAGTGGAATCCCAGATTCCACATGGGCTCCCTGAAAACCCCAAAGTTTTCCCTTACAGGCTCCCGGTTTCCTGCTTTTCCCTAAATGATTCTGTCATTAAGATGGCCCTAAGAAAGCTGGGTTTATTTTCACAGCAGCTGGGACTAAATTAAGGTCCCTGTGCTGCTGAAACCAGCACTGGGATGGACAAGTGCTTAAGTGATAAAGGAGGTTTGTTAAGTGGCTACTTATAAAATAAACTAATGTTGGGTTCGGGTTTTTTTAATGAGAAAGAGCATCCTCTTAACAGGATGGAGGCTGGATTTGCACAGGGTGGAGAGGTTTGTTTCATAAAATCCCAGAATGGTTTTGGGTTGGAAAGGACCTTAAGGATCATCCAGTGCCACCCCCTGCCATGGGCAGGGACACCTTCCACCAGCCCAGGTTGCTCCAAGCTGGCCTTGGACACTTCCAGGGATGGGACATCCTCTGGGAAATCCATTCTGGGGCCTCACCACCCTTCCTTCCCAACATCCATCTGGTTTGAACCCATTCCCCTTTGTCCTGTCCCTCCTCTTTGCCTCCCCGTTGTCCCTCCCTGCACATCCTGTCCTTCCAGCCCTCACAGCTGGGGTTTCATCCCACCCTGAAGCTCCACCACCACTTTCCTCCTCCCCCAGTGTGACTCCTGTTTGCTCTGTGCCTGTAGAACATGAACATCCAGGTGGAGGACATCAGGATCAGGGCCATCCTGGCCACCTACCGCAAGCGGGTCCCTGTCACCGAGGGCTACGTGGAGGTGAAGGACGAGGGCACCTGGAAGCAGATCTGTGACAAACACTGGACCATGAAGAACTCCCGGGTCGTCTGCGGCATGTTCGGGTTCCCCAGCGAGAGGAAATACAACACCAACGTGTACAAGTAAGGGCAGAGCTCTGGGTGAGCCACAAACACCCCCCTGGGAACGCTCAGGGCCTGGGGCATGAGGGTAAATGATCCAGTGAGACCCGGGGGCTTGAGGGGGAATCAGAGTCACAGAATCAGCTGGGTTGGAAGGGACCTC